GGTTACTGATGAAGAAGATGTCCAAGAAGATGCTGAATCTCTTCCTATGAAACTCTTCCAAAGAACACCATCATCTCATCAGGTAACCAACTTTCATTTCCATAGCTCTTTCACCCCTGCTCTTCCGGATGAGATACCGGAAAACTGGACAAATAAGGTCCAAGGGCTGATTGAATCAGCCCTAGCATCTCAACATGCCTCCTTTAGGAAAGAGATAGAAAAAATGGAAGTCAGGCACACCCAGCTAATAGAGAAATCTGAAGGAAAACACAGCACAGACCTCAAAGAAATAAGCAAATCAGTGCAGAAGACTCTGGAGATTATCTCTCTATTGAGTGAAGCTGTAAGCAACACGATGGAAATTTATGCCTCTGACAGTCAGCTTCATCTCAAAGAGATCAACAAAGTCAAAGAGCAAAAAGCGAGTGTCACAATTAGTCTCCAAAAACAGATGTCCCTTCTCCAAATGGACATCAGATCAGCCCTAGCAGTAGCTTCTGCAAATCAGGTAGTAACCAAAGATTACTTGAAGGTGATCATTGACAATCAAAAGGAAGCATACAAGCTGTTCAGACTTATTGGTGCAAACTCTGGAAACCGCAAGATGGAAGTAAATTCTCCAACAACACAGTCCATCTCCAATACCACAGCTCCCTATTGCAATCAAAGAAGGAGAAGTATCTTATATTCCTTCTCATCTAAACTTGACAAATCTAATCCTTGAAGCACAACAGAGAAATCCGGAAAACTCAGTACAACTTCTATCCAGCTCAGGACTGGATGGAACAGAAGCTATAGGTACAGTTGTTGACCACATCTCAAATGATGCTCAATCAGAAGAAAGACGTGAAAATTTAAGACGCATCAAAGAACTGTGTGGGAACATGAAGGGCGTCAGTGAAGTTGCCGGATCTTCAAAGCGCAATAGAAACTGAAGGTTCTTTACATTAAAACAGGGGGAAAGTATGTGAAAACACTAATTTGTTTTGATGAAAACACCTTCTTGTTTAAACATTGCTTGATTGGTTTAAACATTGCTTAATTATGTCTTAATTGCGCTTATTATGCTTAATTATGCTTATCACAAGTATAATTTTGTCTTAATTATTTTTTTGAAACGCATAAATTCAGGGGGAACTTAACTAGTTTTGGCTAACAATTGTTTTTGGCAATGAATTATTGATAAGCTCAAAGCAATGGAAGACGGATATCTCAGTTTTGGTACTAAAATTGGAAATCTCCGATTCAGGTACTTTACAAAATCTGCCTTCTTAAACTAAGCTTCAGTCCTTAATTCATTTCCAACCAGCTCTAAAAGTACTGGTCCCTAGGATGTTTAAAAATGTACA